CTCGTCCACCCATTTCGGTAACCCGATTGATGACGTGGCGTATAGGGATTTGGTTACCCTGTAGGATCTGTCGGGTAGGATCATTTGGCGCGGGAGGGGTGGCTCCTCCGCTGACATGGCAGGGTTGGAGTGGAAGGAGTGGTACGCCGCTTGCGCGAACTCTCCGTAGCGCACCACTTCTCGCCTGAGATTCTCGTCCAGAGGGTCTAGCATGCCTTTCCAGTCGTGGCTGCCGTGGTACTCTCTCCACCGGCTGCCGAGGACGTTTCGCGGGGAGTACTCCGCTGTCTTGGAGAGCAGCCGCTGGAGGCGGTTGAGGTGGCGCGGCGACATTTCCTCGGTGGCTTTCATGTCCGGCCAGAGACGGGCCAGGTTGAGGCTTTCCAGAATGTTCTTTCCTTTCTTCTCCACTGTCGTCGCTGTCTTGTCATCGGTGCTTTGAATTGCGACTTGTTCCTGTTGGTGCGGTGGTGGGTTGTTGAGTTGAGTTGGCGATTGCTTGTGGAGGAACTTGTCGAGGTTTGATAGGTGCAAGCGCGTGGATTCGGTGGAGGTGAGCGGTTTGACGTGCTGAGGAGAAGAAGAGGTGGTTGGAAGTGGGGTGGTGGAAGAAGGGTTGAGGGGAGAGGCACGGCAGCGGAAACTGGCGCGTCTTGTCTGGAACATGTGAAGGTTGTGTGCGGGTATGGTGGAGCTGATCTGCATCATGGTTGATAAGGGATTTTGAGATTGTTGAAAGAAGAGGGTGGCGACGGAGGAGACAGCGTCAACTCAACTGAATTCCCAGGATAATGGCGGAACACGAAACCAACTATCACTGGAGGGAACAAGAGAGCTATTTAAAGAATTGATGTTTGGGTTTTGCCATCGCTTTTGGTCAAATATTACGGAAAGAACCTAGGATATCCACCATGTCACTTTTGGAGCATATGAAAAATTAAAGCTCCACATAATAAAGTACTGCTATTCAATAAAGCCTTCAAAATACAGATCCAAACTTTTTTTTTTCTCTTTTCACTTTATCATTATTTTGTTTCGGAACAAATAAAAAATAAACGAAATATATAAATTTAAAATAATTTCAATTGCAGGGTAAACTTAAAGTGGATGCAATTTCAAGAAGTTTATAATGACGAAATCTACACATATAACATTTTATCATGGAAAGTGTGATGCCTAAAATTAATTGTAGTGTACTAAGTTATCATAAATTATATTGAACCAAAACAATTAAATTGTTTACCATAAAAATTGAAATGCATATTTTCTTTTAAGAGATTTGAACATCAAAAGTTACATTTTATTTAATTACTTATTAACTTAAATTAATTCTTTTTATAGTTTTTACTTATTTGAAAGTTTTTAAAAATGTATTTTAGTTTTGTTATTGTTAATTCGACCAAATTTTAGTCGAGATCAAATTTAATTAATTTTCAATTTGTTCGTGATTGTTCCAATCAAATTTGGTTGATTTTTTGTCGTGATTGATTCGATCAAAGTTGATTGACTTTCGATCAAGTCTGATTGTCATACCCCATTAAAACACATCCAAAAACTCCAAGTAGTGGGATCCATGTGTCAAGAAGTGAATGAGGGTCTCAGTTAGTGGAGAACAGGTGGTTGCAAGGGAGTGACCGTTCGTTTTGGGCGACGACAGTATTTAAAACAAAATTTCAAATGTCGTGCCACTTCTCTGCATGCCTTTCTTTTTCCTCACCCTGCTGAAAACCATTTTCTCCTTCTTCTCTCTAAAATATCCTCATTCTCTCTAAGAAAACCTCACCATTTCTTCTTCCGATCACCTCTCAGGCACCGTCTGAACACTCCCGGAGTCGAGGGCGTTCGTTTGAACCGATTAGTTTTGGATTCTGGACTGGTAAGTTCATCTCTCTCAGCCAAGTGGTTTTTCTGTACATGCAAACTCAGTTTTCGATTACCTGAGTTCCTTAACCCAATTTTGAACGCCTTCCTGGTCTTTCATTTGGTTAGTTTCGTAAATCGTGATCGTAGTCTTCTAAGAGATTGGTGGTGAGCTATTCTGTTCAAATTGTGAATGTTCGGTCACGCTTAGAGGTAAGGGAAGCTTATATAATTTAATTTAGCTTGTTGTGTTGAATGTTTGTATGCTTGCATGATACATGTGATTATTTGATGAGTATGAAATATGATTGTACTGCTGGTTTGGATGTGTGGACGGACGTATGATATACGCTGTGAACTGAGTTGGGATAGAGTTTAATCTTCGAACCGTAGTATTCTGAGCAAAGGTATTTTGCATGATCGAGCGTCATTAGCGAGCTTTCGGTTCTTCTTAGGAGTGCATGGTCTTACTTGAATTATCATGAGTTAGGGATAGTGTTTAAGAGTCTTTCGGTAATATTATATAGGAATAGATAATCTGTGATCGAGAGTTTGTATTCATCGTTCAGTTTTCGTTGATCGTCCGTTCATGTTAAGTTCTTCTTTAGACTTCCTAAACAATTTAGTTAATGTGTTATATACTACCTAAAGTCGTAGACGTTATCGTTCTTTTCATTCAGAATAAGTGGTGGCCCAATGGTATATATATATGAATATATATATATATATATTCATTCTTTTTATGTGAGTTTATAAGCAATTGGTCTTGGACCAACGCTCGTCCAATAGTGTTCGGTTTCTACAGGGCTCGGTCTTAAACCAAGCGTTGGGTCTTGTTTTCTGTAATATAGTATTACTGTGCTTAGAATCAGAGTCTTTATTCAAACTAGCTAGCATTCATTAATTTATAGTTTAGCGGGCGTTCATCCTGATATTCCATGATTACTCGTTCTCATGTAGAAAGGAGTAAGTCACGTGTGGGAATAGTAGGAGGTCCTAGTCCATAAGGTTAACTTGGACGGAACGGATCAACCTCGGGTGGCAGCTGTTGAGGGTATCCCAGTTACTACATCACCCGGGTGCACGAACGTCATAGCTACAGAGGATTCATACAGTCCGGATAGTTAGAGTCATGTGGTCTTTATTTGCATGCATGGATGTATGAATTATGATGTGGTCGTTGTTGGTTCTGTTATGAATGTTGTATATTGTGATTGAATAAATTAAATTACATAAGCTTATCCTGTTTATCATTTTTGTCTATGTTGTGCGTCCGGTCGTTGTCCTGTTGCAATGATCATCCGTGTGGATTTGAGCAGAAGGAGAAGAGCTACTTGAAGAAGTATTGGAAGATGCAACGGAAGTGAAGGCCGAACCTTGAGAGCGTTCGATCTGGTGTTAGCTTTACTTTTTGTAAGACCGTTCAGTATAATTTATTTTGTACATCGTTCGGTATAGTAGTAGCTAGAGTGGTGATTTTAAATTCCTTGTTATTGTGTAAGGTCGTTCACCATAATCGTATCTCGTTCAGCGTAGAACTGAACTGTGGTATTGTTAACATGTGATTATTCTCTATATGGTTTTACACTGTATTTTTGGGATGTTACATAAATCAAATAAAAAGATATCAAACTTGCATTATTTCTTTATATTTTTTAAATCTAATTTTTATCATGAGTTTGATATGTTTTATATACTTTTATTTCATTTTATTTTTTTTATTAAATTTGCAAGTGATGACAAAAATTTTATATGAGATATCAACATAGTTAAGATGTCAAAGTTTATAATGATCTCTAATCATATTTTTCAGTTAAAGAATACACAAAAAGATGTTTTCCAAGTACCTTAAAAGAATTTCAAGTCTAATATGCCCACAAAAATTTTGTAAACCCTCTCCATAAATATTAATTTATTGTATTAATTCACTTATGCTCTTCTAACCTCCAATGTGTACAAAGGGTTTTCTTCTTCACTACATTCATAGGTTAAAAAAAATTGTTTGGCTTTGTTAAAAAGTGAACTTTAAGCCTAACTCAATCCTACAAAATTGGCTTGTAAGATGAGGTTTGCACCCACTTATATACTCTAAATTGACTTTATCTCTAGTCGATATGGAACTTCCAATACACTCCCCTCATGCCGAGGTATATACATTTCGTGCGTGAAACTAGACATTAATGGGTGGTCCGATAATGGTCTGATACCTAGTGGAACAATATGCCAAACAAACATCAAATCTAGCTAGAATAAGCTCTACCCCATGACTTTGATACCATGTTAAGAAGTGAACTTTAAGCTAACTCAACCTTACAAAACTTACTTGTAAGATGAGGTTTGCACCTACTTATATATTATAAATTCACCTTATCTCTAATCGACGTGGGATTTCCAATAAACTCAAATAGGCAATGGATAATTCATGTTAGGTTGACTTGTTGATTGAATAATTATTATTTAAAACAAACAATGCCTTGATAATATCCTCGTACAAAATATAAAATCACACTATCAAAGATGTTAATGCAAAATCATTAACTTGTTAACCAATATGAACCCTTAAATTTGAAATCACTTAACTTGTGTTTCATTTTTAGAAGATTTGTTAACTCCATTAATTTTCATGAGAAATGCATGCCCACATATAAATTATGTAACATTTATGCACCGTGTTTGCCATGTGAAAAATATACTTTTTAAAGCAACTTTATATACACGTTGAAGTCTACTAGGTATAAAAAGTGGCACGATGGCAATATCATAAATATAAGAAGTTTTTCTATATCGATTGTACTCATAACAGGTATAGAAAGTGGTGTGATCGCAAAACTATACAAAGATTTCTATACCAATTACACTCAGAATGGATACAGAAAGTCATTTTTTTATTTAAGTTAGACCTAGAACTGGTATAAAAGTAGTGAGATGGCAAAAATTTAATATTGAAGAACTTTTTAACCAGTATAGATTGTTTAACATTCTGCCCCCAAATCCCTTTTTGCGTTTCACTTTTTTCTTCTACGCTTCTTCTACTTTTTTCTCGTTCTTGTTCTCTTCTACGCTTCTTACCATTGTTCTCATTCACTCTTTGTTGTTTTTGGTTGCCATTGTTGAAGTTGTTACCATGGTGGTTGGGTGAAGTTGTTGTCTGCCGTCATTGGTTACCATTATTGGTTCAAGCTCTTGCCATGGTGGATGGGTAAACCTTTCGTTCGCCATTGTTGGTTGCAATTGGTGGTTAAAGTTCTCACTATGGTAGGTGGGTTAGTCACTATATGGAGGAATTCCTTGCACCACAGTGACTTCAATCACTAAGGTGTCTGAATTTTGTTCAATAATAGCAAGACCCTTAATTTTATAGGGAGTCATAACAAGTGAAGGAAGCACTTTTCTCAAGTCTTCACGTTTGTATGCTCTAAGTCTTCTCCTTTTTAGCTTAGAAATTTTTGGTTTTCTCTTCTTTGAATCGTTCCACTCTGTTTTTTTCTCTCTCCTATTCACTTCCACACTATCATCTGAAAACCTCTAAAGGGTAACTTCTTTGTTCACTTTTATGTGCAATTTTTTTTGCTTTTCATTTTTTGTTGCTTGCTTCGTGTGTGTGGTTCCTTTGGCAAAGTAGAGTTTATGAAAAGGTTCTTGGGGCTTATTGAATTGGGTTGTTAGAAAACCTAGGTGGGTATTTGAGCACTTCTGCAAGATTGTTTTTTCTCATTTCGTATGTTGAATGAACTCTTCTAGCTTTCTTCCTCTATCAATTATTCATGCTTTGCTAGAGTGTGAGTTTTGGTCTAAAAATTGTATATGTTTTTATCCTTTTCTTATTGTTATTACTTATGTTTACTTTAGATGGTTGACTTGGTTTATGTGCATTGTTGAAGTGCGTTCTTTTGTTTACTTTTCAATTGGTTTTCAAAAAA